CTAAATATTTATTCATTCGTTCATTCATGCATTCATTTATTCATTCGTTCGTTCATTATTCATTTATTCATTTAATTCATTCATTTATTTTTTAGTTCATTTATTCATTTATTTTAGTTATTTATTCATTTATTTATTTTAATAATTCATTCATTCATTCATTTATTCATTTTTAAATAAACAGAAAATAAAATATAAAAATATATATAAAATAAGCATATATATAAAATTATTTTATAATTAAAATATTTATTTGTTTCAACAATTCACATATATTTTTTTCTCCAAAAGTAGGATCATTAACAACAAAAAAATTTTTGTCTCCTACTAAATTTATTTAAAATTTAAAAATGGGACACAGCTAACAATTTTTGTATTTTTATTTTAATATTTTTTCATTCGTTAATAATATAACATCCCTCAACGCCATATTTGATTCATGTCAGGTTAATTATATTTGATCATGAATGCATTTAACAGTAATTTCCAAACGTATCTAACTCTTTGCGTCTTAAATGCTTCACATAAATATAGGTAACATTAATTCAAAAACAAACTGTAGCCTTTTAATGTAGAATAAAACCAGATTTTTGTTCACTTACTGTTTTAGTAAACACATTTAGTACAGTAAAGAGTACAGATTTGTCTTAAACGTGAAGAAAAGCAGCATGCATTAGTTGTCATTGTTTTGCAGGTGTCTTACTTTATCTCTGGCTCTTCTTTGTCCTCTTTGCTTGGCGTGAGCTTCAAGCTTCCTTTCCTGGCACGAGGGCAGCCTGACAGACTGGAAGAGAACATGACATATGTGACGAACCCTTCAGAAGTTCAAGCGTGCAGACGCGTGTGTAGGCAAGATACGGACGCCGCGTTTCCTGCGTGATGTTTCAGGCTCTGACACCTGTCGTGTTGCCATTGAACAGGGGTCATTACCTCAACAGCCGTGAAATGCCACAAAGTATTTATTCTCCGCCGATTACCCGGTTTTAAATGCAAATCGTTTAACCCACTGAGTGCCTTTTGGATAGCCAATCTATTACGGCATAGCATCGAGAACGACAAAACACTGATGCATTATGCTACAGTGTAAGGAAAAAGCATGACCGTTTATGTCATGCAGAGACATCAAAAATGTCACTACTACATGTTCATCTTTAAAGAGATTTATTTTAAAGAGATTTCTTCTTGTCTAATGAGACTCACCTCCTATGAGATGCATAGTTTCCTGTCACATGACCCGAGCCGTCACAGCCAGGAGTCGGGCACCTTTTAAAAGAAACAGAAATGTATGATATAAATATATAATGTACAGTTGAAGTCAGAATGATTAGCCCCCCTGTTTATTTTTCCCTCAATTTCTGTTTAAAGGAGAGAAGATTTGTTTAACAAATTTCTAAACATAATAGTTTTATTATCTCATCTCTAATAACTGATTTATTTTATCTTTGCCATGATGACAGTTATTAATGTTTTACTATATATTTTTAAGACACTTCTATACAGCTTAAAGTGACATTTAAAGGCTTAACTAGGTTAATTAGGTTAACTAGGCAGGTTAGAGTAATTAGGCAAGTTATTGTATAACAATGGTTTGTTCTGTAGACAGTCTGAAATAAATTAGCTTAAAGGGGCTAATAATTTTGACCTTAAAATGGTGTTTAAAAAATTAAATACTGCTTTTATTTAAGCCGAAATAAATCAAATAAGACTTTCTCCAGAAGAAAAAAATATTATCAGACATACTGTGAAAATGTCCTTGCTCTGTTAAACACAATTTGGGAAATATTTAAAAAAGAAAAAAAATCAAAGGGGGGCTAATAATTCTGACTTCAACTGTATGTAAAAAATTCTACTAATAAAAGTTCATATTGTTTTTACAAAATATGTTATGAAGTAATAGTGTGAAATGTAAACATGGAAGAATATTTAAACATATAACATGATAATAACATGGACAGTAACATAAATATAATTTTTATGAACAGATTATAATTATATGAAAGTAGTAACTACATTTACATGACAATTATAATATTAATTATAATATATTATTATATTTAATATTTTTTTTTTATATTTAATTACATTATTTACATAAAATAAATAAGTATTCGACACAACACTATTTTTCTCAGAAAACATATTTCTAAAGGTGCCGTTGACCTAAAATGTTCCCCGGATGTTGGTAACAACCAACGAAATCCACATATGCAAAGAAAACAAATCTAATTAGTTTCCAAATGAAGTAACAGAATGAGATGACACAGGAGAAAAATATTGAACACATGAAGAAAGGGAGGTGTAGAAAGGCAGTGAAAGCCCAGACAGCAGCTGAAATCTCTGAGTAGTTATTCAGCAACCCTCTGCTCTTCACCATTGTAAATGAATATTTGCTGCTTCAGTTCAACATCTACTTTAGGATGATGAAGATGAAACCAGGGTGGACATTTCAGCAATACAATGATCCAAAACACAGCCAAGGAAACTCCCAAATACTTTCAGAGAAAGAAAATCAAGCTGTAGAATGGCCCAGCCACTCACCTGACTTGAATCCAATAGAAAATACAAAATAAAGATCAGATTTGATAGACGAGACCCACAGAACCATCCAGATTTTCACACTCTGTTGAAGTCAGACCTGAGCACTGCATGTGACTTCAATGTCCACATGAGAGGCGCCTTTGAGCTGCCATCACCACAAAAGTCTTTTATATAAAGTATTAAATACATTTCAGTAGTTCACTTTCTCTTTGTGTCATTACACTGTTATTACACAGAACTCATTTTTCAGATTGCTTTGTTTTACATTTATGTTTGTATTCTTTTTACCAAAATCTGGTTCAATTCCATGTCAACAGCTCCTTTACAAATAGTATTGCCAGGAAAAAGCATGACATGTTCAATACTTATTTTCCCCGCTGTACTCAAACACTTTAGCCTGAGTATCAATTCCATTAACTAGAGACGTTTTACCTGCCTATTATTAAGATATTGGGCGTTTATTAGTACTTATACTAAATATTAATAAAAATTAAAATAATAACAAATAATACTTTATAAGTCATATATTTAAAATTTAAATATTTTGTATGATATTATTATGCATAATCCTACCCAATACCTACACCTAACTACTACCTTAATAATTATTAGTAAGCTGAATATTTTTAGAAAGGTTTATTGAGACAAAAGTCATAGTTAACGGTTTGTTAATAGCCAGAACTGTACCTTAAAAATAAAGTGTGACCAATTTTTTCCATTAAACAATTATTGTACATGTTTACTGGATTATAACTATAGCAAATTCTTACTTTAGCTCTTGAGAATTAGCAGCCATTAGTGATTTCAGCGTCTTATCAGCCAACGGGCAACCGGATACACTAAAAGAAAACAGAAGACATAATGTCAGATTAATGTAATAATGCAAAAATCTTTTTTAATATAATTCTGGGTGTCGATTGGCAGGGCTTCTCACCTTCTGTGTGACGCATAATTTCCTGTCACATGACCACTGCCATCACAACCTGGTGTTGGACAACTATGAAGACAAAAAAGAAAGGTGATGAACACTTGCAGGTGCACAGAGCCTAGATTTATTTGTCGACAAATGCTTTTATTATTAATATAACATGCTAACATGTGACCAAGATCAAACAGAATGGCATTACCTCATCAGCTCTTTCTTGGCATCTCTTATGAGCATCTTGTTTTTTGCCATGTTCATGTCGCCATTGTAGACTTTATCTTCAAGAGACGCCTTCTCCAACTGATCCATCTACAAGACAACAGACAGTAAAAAACGTCAATGCTTTTTTTTAAAGAAACACTACCTGACAAAAGTCTTGTCGTAGTCTTGTCAATCCCAGTTGTAAAAACAACAAATAATAACTTGACTTCTAGTTGATCAATTGGAAAAGTGTCAGAAGGTAAATTTCATCAGTTGAGCTGCATCCAAATCACCACAGATACAGCAGAAGACCAACTGGAACTAGCATGGACTCAAGCTTCTCATAGAAATCAGTCAAGTTTGGTGCAGGAAAAATCATGGTTTGGGGTTACATTCAGTATGGTGGTGTGCGAGAGATCTGCAGAGTGGATGGCAACATCAACAGCCTGAGATATCAAGCATTTGTGCTGCCCATTACATTACAAACCACAGGAGAGGGCAAATTCTTCAGCAGGATAGCGCTCCTTCTCATACTTCAGCCTCCAAATCAAAGTTCCAGAAAGCAAAGAAGGCCAAGGTGCTCCAGGATTGGCCAGCTTAGTCACCAGATATGAACATTATTGAACATGTCTGGGTTAAGATGAAGGAGGAGGCATTGAAGAAGAATACAAAGACTCTTTATGAACTCTGGGAGTCCTGCAGGAACGCTTTCTTTGTCATTCCAGATGACTTTATTAATGAGTGATTTGAGTCATTGCAGAGATGTATGGATGCAGTCATCCAAGCTCATGGGAGTCACACACATTATTCACTCTCTTTCCACTGCTCCATGACTTTATATTCTATATTGTACATTATTTCTGTGAAGTGGCAAGACTTTTATCTAAGCAAAGTCAGACCTTGAAAAAAATCAAGGCATTTATTTTGGTAAAATGTGCATAATATAGAGGCCTTTGCCCTTTATATAAGGCACTTCTGATACCAAATGATCAACTAGAAGTCAAGTTATTACTTCTTAAAACTTAGATAGACGATTAGATTTTTTTTCAGTTAGTGCAAGTCATGAAGATCACATAAAGGTCTACTGAAATTCCTTAAAATGCCCAGCTTTGTTGACATAATTTAAACTGAAATTAAAACTGATATAATAAAATATAATAAAATATAGTAAAAATAAATGTAAGGTAATTCTTTTAAAAATGTCCTGCCATTATCAGCACACATGGAATCTTGGGATCTTCGAGGTCACAAAGGATTCACCAGGTATCCTACCTGGGAAATGATGGATGCATTGAGCCTGCATTTGAAGGAGCCTTCAATTTTTTTTTATTTTTTTTTATTTTGATATGAGACAGCCTTTGTTGTCCCACAATGATGCAGTGCCCTTCGAATGCATCCTTTGGAGCAGGCATGTCCAAACTCTGTCCTGGAAGGCAGGTGTCCTGCAAAGTTTAGTTCCAACCCTTATTAGACACACCTGGGCTAGCTAATCAAGATCTTCCTAGGCTTTCTAGAAACATCCTTGGAGGTGTGTTGAGGCCATAGATAAATACATTAGATGTTGCCTACCCTGTAGTCGTCTATTGGAAGGAATGCGTCAATAGCGCCGCCATTTTTGTACAGGGTACCTTTGAAATGAATGCCGGACCAAGCTGCAGTGAAGGACTGTGGCCATCCAAAGCCAGAGATATACACATAAACAAGTTTATCTCTGATCGGGAGTTTTCCTGGAGTTCAGTATGCAATTTTTTTTTAAATTACGAAAATTACAATTTACTTCACTTTTCTACATTGATTGATAAGTGACTGCACGGACAGTCCTGACAAAAAGCTTGTGTTTGTGTGCATGGAAATGTACTATCCAACCTCCCTGTTAAATTTGATCTAATCATGTCCTGAAACACACCTCCTCTCCTGCTTTCACTTCTCATACCAACGGAAGGAGTGATTAGTTTGTGAATGAGTCTCCGTTATGAACGACTCCTTCACTTAGCTGACAATAATACAAGTTTCTGGCACCGCAGCATCTCGTTGTAATATTTCTTTTGCATTGTTTGTTGATTTTATTCAACAAAGCTAGCATAAGCCGTTGTATTAGCGCGAGTTGGGGCTACACTGCCTTATGGTGAATGCAGTAAGTGACTATTATCAATAACGCTACTTGTTTAGCACACAAGTTTATAACATACAAAAACGTAAAAACGAAATCTTACCTATAAAATGTTCTGCCTTTACGCTTTGTTTTCTTTGTTTGCTCGTTACTACACCCATACACAACGCTAAAGTCCAGCATCTTCACGTCCCTGCTGAAAAAAACAGCTTAAACCAGCCTAAGCTGGTTTAAGCTAGATTTTTCAGCAGGGGTAGCAACACTGTCTTAGTGCGGTTGAATGACATTTGTCCTGGGAGCCCTGTACAAATGTGGCGGCGCTACTGACGCATGCTCGGGGTCTCTATGTGATATCTAGTGTATATATCTATGTGTTAAGGAGCTAAAATCTGCAGGACACCAGCCCTCCAGGACTGAGTTTGGTCACCCCTGCTTTGGAGGATGCAGCCTCTGAAATGAGACACAACTACTGTTTTGGAACACTTTCGTTTATAGACAACCTTAAGACTAATATATTGATACTAACACACACACATGCACACACACAACTACACTTCTGATTTCAGTGGGACTTTAAAAAAGTAATTCTGTAAGCCCATTCACAGTAATAGTGTGTGAGAGGTTTGATGCTGCTTAAGTGTACTTACTAAAACGTATATCCATTTAAACTGGCCTATAATCCCTCGTAGTATTTATGATGTGAGAGCTGGGTGTAAAACCTTTGGATTTACTTACTCTTTTTTTTTTTATAAGGTAAGTATCTTTGAGCACCAGATGTCAGATGGAGAATCAGACAAATATATAACAGTCTGGGTTTGTTCTTTGACTCCTGAGAGGATGAAAAATTGACGGCTTTTCAAGAACATTCTCCTGCAATTTGTTTTCAATTTAGTTTTTCGTGTCTGAGCACATCGCAGGAGACTGCGTGTCTGAGGTTGTGGCTCACTGAACAAGATCATGTAGACGAATACACACAATGTGAAGGGTTTTATGTTGAATTTGTTCTTCACGGAGGGCATGTTAAAGGTGCGGTATGTACGTTTTTGACTCTTCTAAAGCACAAAATACCATGCAGATATTTAAGAAACATGCTAAGTGAACGATCTTGTTTATCTGAAAAACGAAGCTGAAGTCAGATATTCTGACTTTATATTTAGATGTTCTGACTAGTCTCTGTTTTGTTTTTTTTAACCCGCCCACTGCCACTTTAGCCAATAATATTTCAGCACCCCAGGCTGCCTTGGTGGAGAACAGAGTATTTGATCCAATCAGTCATAATGGTTCTCGTACGACCGAAAAGCTCCTTTAAATAACTTCCGATTCAGTTGCTGAGAGAAATGACTAGGAATAATAAACAGCAGAAAACGGTCAAACTACTTGCTCTACAAACAAGTGTTTGCATGACTATACAGACAAAATAAAATAATATAATAAGAAAATATCAGTTTGCAACATGAAGCAGCAAAACGAGCTGTTTTTAACGTCTAAAATTAATGGAAGTGAATGAGATCGAAAGTCTCAAGCTAAAAAGATTCAAATGGCTGCGCTCACTTGAACACGTAGAATAAGATGAGTAGCACTTGTCTTTGGATTGTGGGGAAAATCAGAGAACCAGGAGGAAACCCACACCAACACGGGGAGAACGTGCAAACTCTACACACTCTACACTCTACAATTGCCAACTGGCCCAGCCGGGACTCGAACCAGTGACCTTCTTACTGTGAGGCGACAGTGCTAATCATTGAGCCACCGTGCCGCCTACTGATATTATACTATATATAGATATATATATAGTTGAAGTCAGAATTATTAGCCCCCTTTGAATATTTTTTTCTTTTTTAAATATTTCTCAAATGATGTTTAACAGAGCAAGGAAATGTTCACAGTATGTCTGATAATGTTTTTTCTTCTGGAGAAAGCCTTATTTGATTTATTTCGGCTAGAATAAAAGCAGTTTTTAATTTTTTAAACACCATTTTAAGGACAAAACTATTATCCCCATTAAGATTTTTTTTTCAGATTTTCTGATTCTATTTTTTTTACTTTAAACAAAATAAACATAAAGTAAAAAAAATTTGAATCATTTTATTTTAGTCAGTTGCCAAATCATTTTTTCAAAGCATGTTTAGCTTAACCTGATGTGCAATCTGATGTTACCTTATAATAGCTCAAAGTAAAAACTAAAAAAAAGTTTCATGTTTTTTTCTAATAGACGTTTAATTAGCTGAACAGCATCAGTCTAACGTTGAACTAAAGTACACTGTATTGAACTGTACTCCTCGTCTTGTCAATGGCTGACCTCTTTGTCGTGTTGTGCAGGTGTTTTGCTGTAGTTGAGCGGTGTGTCCCAGGCGTCCTGTTCATAGAGGACTCTGTAAATGGCTGGTGAGATCTGGAGACCCGCTGTTTTGGCCAGTGAAGGCTCAGCTGGACTGAAGAGAGCGTCTCCTAAAGCCGGCATAACTGGAGAATCTCCGGCCTTTTCTCTTTTCTTCTTCATGCTTAAATCCAGCGTCCCGTTCTCGTCCACCTCGATGAGTGAGTCCTGAGGATACAAACACACTGCTAATCAAGTCACATTGAGCTTTATTGTGATTTACTATATGTCAGAATTATAAGTCCTGTGTTTTTTTTTATATTCCTCAAATGATGTTTAACAGAGCAAGGAATTTTTCACAGTATTTCCTATAATATTTTTTCCTCTGGAGAAAGTCTTATTTGTTTTATTTCAGCTAGAATAAAAGCAGTTTTTATTAAAAGTATATAATAATATTAGCCCTCTTAAGCAGTATTTGTTTTTGACTGTCAATGAAATGATCGGGGGGAAAAAGCTTCTGATTATTAAAGACTTATATTTATGTTGTTTAAGTATCACTGAGATACTACTGTAAAGAGAAAAAGCAAAAATAAAGCAAATCGACCAATTATATTTTTAAAGGATCGTGCGACACTAAAAACCTGAGTAACGATTCTACAAATTAAGCATTGGATTAATTTTGGATCTTTAAAAATTCATTATAATTTTAGTTAAAAAGTTTAGTATTTTTGTTGTTGCATTTTTGTCATTTTATTTAGTTTTTATTTATTCACTATTATTTTAGTTTAAGTTATAGTTATTTTAGTAAATCAAATAAAAAAAATAAATAAATAAAATAAGTTAGTTTAGGTTTAGTTATTTTAGTAAATCAGATAAAATAAAACAAAACAAAACAAAATATAATTTAAAGGATCGTGTGACACTAAAGACGCAAGTAACGATACTACCAAATTAAGCATTGATTAATTTTGTTTAGTATTGTTATTGCATGCTTGTCATTTTAATTAGTTTAATTTATTTATTATTATTTTACTTTAGTTTAGTTTTAGTTATTTCAGTAAATCAGCACAAAACAAACAAAATGAATAAATAAAATAAAATAAAATAAAATGTGTTTAGCAAATCGACAAGATTAAAATAAAGCAAATCGACCAATTATAATTCTAAAATGATAATTTTCGAAGGATCGTGACACTGAAGACTAAAGTAAAGATACTCTAAGTTTAGCATTGAATCACAGGAAAAGAATGTTTTTAATATATTCAAATAAAATATGCTTTAATAATATTTAATATTAATATATTTTATATAAAATGTATTTGCAAATGGCGAGGCAGTGGCGCAGTAGGTAGTGCTTTTGCCTCACAGCAAGAAGGTTGCTGGGTCGCTGGTTCAAACCTTGGCTCAGTTGGCGTTTCTGTGTGGAGTTTGCATGTTCTGCCTGCCTTCTCGTGGGTTTCCTCCTGGTGATCCGGTTTCCCCCACAGTCCAAAGACATGCGGTACAGGTGAATTGAGTAGGCTAATTGTCCGTAGTGTATGAGTGTGTGTGTGAATTTGTGTGTGGATGTTTCCCAGAGATGGGTTGCGGCTGGAAGGGCATC